TTACTCAAATTAGCAGTTGAAAAATCTCCGAACTTGTTTAGTTTATTCTTCTATGACGTATCTTCTTCACTCTGCGATGCTCGTGAATCTAAGAATGCACCTTCCCAATATCAGTATTCATTCCTGTCTGCGTAACCAAACAAATACAATTTCCATTCACTTCTTTCCCTGAATATCAACATCCTCTGATACTGCCTTAGTGGAATTTATTAACAGCCTCGCTCTCTCCAGTCTAGGACCTCTGTTCAACACAAAGAGTCAAGCTGATCAAACTCATAATGATATGATCTGGGATAGGCAATCACTTGGTTGAGTTTTAGAGTCCAAATTGAAGAAGTTGACATGCCAAGGTTCAAGTTTCGTGAATGGCTCGGGAGCCGAAACGAGTTGGATTTAAGGTTTGGAAGATATTTGGAAAGAAAACGAGTGACTTGATTAAAATGAGCATAACTTTCAGATCGGATTTTCGCCCATGAGTACATTCCGGAATTGTCACGAAATTCTGCACAAGTCTACTTGGGCGCATGGTACTTTTGGATTTTCGGTCACACAGAAACATGGCATAAAGTTGGACGCGGATTTGTCAATTTTTGGCAGTTTCCTAGTTTAATTAGAATTCCATATTTTTAGCATCTTTTACAATATTAGAATTATATTTTCGTGCAATTAGGGTTTTTTTTAGGTTTCATATAATAGGATCTTTATTTCATTGTAAGATTAAGACTTTTAATAATGAATTAACAAGATTTTTCTCTCCATTGGTTCTTGAATGAACTACTGAACTTATCAAATATATTTTTATATTTATGACGTTCAACCCTTAGAACTTATCAAAGGATTAGGCATCCTTTGTGGCGTTCGCAAAATTATGGTTCTTGTTTCCGCTCATCAATGGGTTTAGGGTTTAATATACCTTAGGTTCTTGGTTCGTGAGGCTTGGGTCAGGATTCTATCGTCTACAACCTGAATTTGGGCTTTCCCGATGTTTCAGAATAATTTCGCAATTTCCACGCTGATCCCATTCCCGGGTTCACGTCACAAAACCCTCATATCAGCTAGAACCTTATCTTCAACTCTTAACTCCATGATGTCCCTTGGAACAAGCTCCTTGTTTGGCTAGTTAGAAATCTTTCTCCTCTCGAAAAAAAATTGTTGCATGCTCCGATTGAATTTCTTCACCATATGCTTCTAAACAATGGAAGCCCGATAAATGTTTTATATGAAAATACCCTCGATCAAATGGAAAAATATAATCCATGGATTCATGTGTTGGGGCTTCACTACTTCATCAGAGGTGGCCCAATCCATCACATACACGCAACTCTGCGAGTAAAGATAGGGCCCTAGGCATACCGGTATATATGGATTTCTGCATCGTAAAGGAAAAATCCGCGTATAACGGAATTTTCGGACAGCCTACCATGAAACATGAGAACATAATGGTTTTTCTCCATGAGTCACATGTGAGGTTCTTTATGAATAAAGGTGAAGCCTCCATAAAAAATACATAAGGAATCCTGCAAAGAAAACATCGAAATGACCTAAGAAAAAGATCCATATGTGCTCCTAATGAGAATATAATTGCTATAGTTGAGATGAGTAATCCCAAAAAGAAACTTGAAATCGATGGCTCAATCGATTCTCGCATAACTGATTGTGTGTTCGAAGTGGCTATAGTTGAAGTATTAGAAAATTTTCTATCAGTACGAAAGATACAAGTAAAGCTCTAAAAATTGGCAATAAAATGAATGAACATATGTAATGCCAATTGAAAGATTTTTTTGAAATCGGACCTAGATGCATTCGCATGGAAGCATGCTAATATGGTGTGATAGATCCCAAAGTGGCTTGTCATGCCTTGAAAATCGATCCCAAGATAAAATCCAAAATGCAAAGGACGCGAACAATGAGCCCTGAAAAGTATGAAACATTGAAAAATGAAGTGGATAGATTGCTAGAAATGGTTTTATCCACGAAGGTCAATACTTAGTTTAGGCATGTAATCCAGTTCTATTGCCAAAAAGCAATGAAAAATAGAGAATCTGCTAGGATTTTACGGATATAAACAAAGCATGTACCAAAGATAGTTTTCCACTTTCCAGAATTGATTAGTTGGTGGATGCAACTGCAGAACATGAGCTATTAAGCTTTATGGATGCATATTCGGGATACAATTTAATCCCCATGTGTACACTAGATGAGGAATACATTGCCTTCGTTACATATCAAGGGTTATATTGTTATAAGGTAATGCCACTTGGAATAAAAAACATTGATGGTACCTATCAAAGGCTAGTAACAAAATGTTCACAGATCAATTAGGTAAAAAAATGAAAGTATACATTGATGACGTGATCGTTAAAAGCCTCCGAACTGAAAGCTACTTAAAATACTTGCAAGAAGCCTTTAACATGCAACAGAAGTATAGAATGAAACTAAATTCATTAAAATGTGCGTTTGGAGTAAAATTCAATAAATTCTTAGGGTATATAATAAACCAATGAGGTATTAAGGCGAATCCTAATAAAATCTAAGCCTTCATTAAAATATGATCCTCAACAAACTGAATGAGGTACAAAGTTTAATAGAAATGATCACCGCCTTAAGTGGATTTATATCACAAACAATAGACAAATACTCTCATTTCTTTCAAGTAATGATAAAGGGAAAAAGTTCAAATAGAGTAATGAATGCGAACTAACATTTCAAGCTTTGAAAGAGCACTTCGGAAAAGAGCCTCTATTGGCTAAGCCATCAAGTGGAGAAAATTACTTTTATATTTAATAATTTTTGAAGTGACAATGAGTTCTATCTTGATAAAGGAGAAATGACAATAACAACTGCAAGTGTACTATGTAAGCAAAGCTCTACCAAAGGCAGAGATGAGGTATCCTGACAACAAAAAAATGGCCCTCTCACTAGTTGTAGCATCACATAAACTGCGGTTATACTTCCAGAGCCATAGAATTGAAGTGCTAACTAATTTCCTACTTAAACAAGTATTACAGGAACCTAACATATTAGAAAGAATGATAAAATGGGAAGTACAGTTTGGACCGTTTGAAATAAGTTATAAAGGACGATCTGCTATCAAAACAAGGATACACAATCCCATTGCTCAGATGCATAAATGAGGATGATGCAATATGCATAATGAAGAAAATTCACAAGTGCATATGTGGAAATCACGCAAGCGAACATTCCCTAGCACAGAAAGCCTTGAAGCAACGTTATTATTGGACCACTATAAGAAATGATACTATGAGTTTCACCAGAAAAAATGAAAAATGTCAGAAATTTGCATCAATACCATAGCAACCAATACAAGAGCTAATAACAGGTAGCAACCTTTGGTGAAAATGGGGTATTGATTTCGTTGGACCATTGCCTAGATGAAGGTAGAATATGAGATCATGATCGTGGCAGTAAATTATTCCACTAAATGGGTAGAAGCAGAACCCCTCACTTACGTTTCTGAGACTAGTACTTGTAAGTTCATATGAAAAAAATGTTATGTGTCAATTTGGAGTATTGAACTCTATAATATCATATAATAGCATGTAATTCCAGGGAAAGAATTGAGAGCTATGTGTGATGAGTTGGGAATCCACGGACATTTTTTCACTCTATATTACTCGTAAGCTAACAAACAAGTAGATACAGTGAATAAAACAATAAAGAGTGTTTTAGAAAGAAAATTGGATACAACCCAATATTATAGACCAATGAACTATTGTTTAGTAAAAAAAGGCAAGCGTACGGGACAACTAATGTTAAAAGTATTATCCTACGAGGAATACTGTCTAATTATGGTTTACTAGTTAT